AAGGTTGAGCAAACTAATGGGTCTATAACTTGAAGGGTCAGTTGGATCTTTACCTGGTTTGGGGATTAGTGATATCACCGCTTCGTTGAAAGTTGGTACTACGCAGCCCTTATCAAACATTTCCTGGTATACCTCACGGAGTATTGGTACAACAATATCTGCAAAGGTCTTATAGTACTCCACAGGAAGTCCGTCATAACGGAGGCAATCGCCTTCCTAATTTCGGCCTCAGTTATAGTCAAATCTAGTCCCTCTGTTTCATGACTTTTAAGCTTGGGCAGACCTACATTCAGAAGGAACCGTTCTATATTTTCTTTTGGCTTATCCACCGAGATTGAAGATGTGTACAGTTTTTCGTAATATTGCTGGAAGATATTATTTATGCCTTTAGCTGTGTAAATTTCTTCATCCCCCAGTTTTATAACTGGGATGGAATTACTATTATTTTTTTCTTTTAGTTGTCTAGCCAACAATTTCCCCATTTTCTCCCCTCCTTCATAATAACTTGTTTTTAGCCTATACAAAGCATATTCCGCTTTCTTGTTATATATGCTGTGTAGGGAGTATTTAAGTTTACATAATTCCTGAAGTTTACTATCAGAAATGCTTTTTGACAGTTCTAGTTCTTTTCTTTTTATTTCCTCCTCTAATTCCTTAATCTTGTTAATACTCTCTTTTTTCTTTCTAGCTGCATGTGCTATAAATTTTCCTCTGATGTATGCCTTTGAGGCCTCCCATACTGTGGTTATTTCTGCAGTACTACCTATATTGATTTCAAAAAATACTTTCAAGTCCTCCTCCACTGCCTTTCTAAAAGATAAATCTGACAGTAATCCAATGTTTAATCTCCATCTTCCCCTTCGTTCAACCTTCTGACTCACCAAAAACAGTAGTTCCACAGGTGCATGATCTTTAATAGATATTGGTTGTATGTTGCAATTTGCTACTTTGTCTACCAGGGAATTGCTAAGTAAGAAAAAATCTATCCTTGAAAATGTTTTATGACAATGTGAAAAGAAGGGGAAATCCTTTGTATTTGGGTTAATCAGTCTCCATATATCTATTAGTCCCATATCTCTACTCAGCATTTGCAAGGCTTGTCTTTCCTTATTCATGAGGGGAGGCCTGAAAACACTTCTGTCCAAAACTGGGTCCATAACCTCATTAAAATCCCCCGCCAGGACTATTTCACCTTCAGTGCTGCCCAGTATTTTATTCACCTCATGGAAGAAGATTGGATCTCCCTTGTTGGGTGCATATATGTTGCACAGTACTTACTGGACTCCTTCTATTACTGCTTCCACACATATAATTCGGCCCTCTGTATCTTTACTTTGCTTTCATAAAATGAAGCTCACATTTTTGTGGACCAGGATCATAACCCCATTACATTTACTTGAAAATGAGCTGTGAAATAGATGTCCCACCCATCCCACCTTGAATTTCCCTATTTCAAGCTCCCGCATGTGAGTCTCCTGTATAAAAACAATATCTGCGTGGTTATTCTTCAAGAATGTTACAAATTTTTCCTCTTAATTGGGCTACTGAATCCATTCATGTTCCAAGAAATCAACTTCAGTTGTCTGTCAGACATGTAAACTTTTAAATGCTACTGCTGTCTTCAGCTCCTTGCAGAAAATAATCCCGTTTCCAACATCTACATTAACAAACTTATACCAGCCTTCTTCTGAATCCACAGAACATAGAACAACCCAGACCGGGCGCATAAAAAAACAAACAAAGGAAAAAAAGAAGACAAAACAAAAAATGTCCGGCTGTTCCTAGACAACCAGTGTCCATGTGGTAAACACTCTTCGGTGTTGAAAAACCATGTGAAAAAAAAGAAATTAAACCTCGTCATGGTCTGCGGGATTAACGCCGTTCCCATGGTAACCGTCCAATGTGCCAGGAAGCTCTTCGTCATCCCGCACAGCTCTTATCAATTCAACCAGAACGCACAGTTTTTGAAGTAAACAGCTCACCTTCCTCTGAAGTTCACATCACCTCCTTCACCGCTCCTTTATTATCTTCTCCGCTGATTCCACAGTGTTGCAGCTCACGTTTTTTCCCTTCCATCTGAAGTGCAGCGTCACCGGGAAAGCCAGAGTGTATCTAATATCCAGGTCTTGCAACTTGTGCTTTACCGAGGTGAAGGCCTTCCGTCTCTCCGCCAGCTCCTTCGACATGTCCGGGAACACAGAGAGGCGGCATCCCTCCCAAACAATCCCTCGCTTCTCCTTAGCCGCGCCATCACCTTGTCCCGCGCCGACTGACTCAAGAAGCGGATCAGTACCGGCCTCGGGGGTTGCCCTTCATTCGGCATTGGCGCCACCTGTCTGTGCACCCGCTCCATCTCAAACTCCTCACTCATTTGCACGCCGAGGCCCTCAGCCAGGATCTTCCGCACGCATTCAGGCAGCGTTCCGAAGGTCTCCCTTAGTCCCACCAGTCTCACATTATTTCGCCTGCTGTGGTTCTCGAGGGCTTGTATCCGGTTCCACATCTTCTCAATTTGTTTGTTCCCACTTTCCTTATCTTTCTGAAGCTGTTCTGACGTCTCCTCCAGCTGCGTAATTCGCGTTTTGACCTCACCGAGCTTCTCCTACATTGCTGTCACCGTCGTAGTCAGCTCGGCAGTGGCCTGTTTAATAGACACGACATCTGTCGCGACATTCTGGAGCATTTCACTCATTTTCGATATTTCTGCAAAAAGTCTTTCCAGGCCGACTGTCGCAGTCGTGGGTGCTGGGGTTTCTCCCGTATCGCTGTCGTCTTCATGGACCTGGCCTTTCCGGGTACACACTCGTGACGAGCTTTTAAAATATTTCGACAACGTCGACATAGCTTTTTAATCTTTTCAGACTAAATATCAAACGTACGCAGACTCAGTACTCCCAAGGCACAATATTCCACCAGTATAGTTGCGTTTTTCAGCTAAAATCCTGTTAGTAGCATGTGCGGGGAAGAGAGCTCCCTAGCTTGCGGCCATCTTGGAAGCTGCACCCGCGTGACTCAGAGAGAGAGTAGATTGATTATTCGTAATTTCCATGACCCTGAATCGACATGCGAGAGCTGGGCGCAGAAAGCCCGTCCATGGAGCCAACCGGAGGCCTCACCCACTCAGCTGAAAAACATTTCCTTTTGCCCCCCTTTATTTTGGTCCAAGATCATTACTGGGCTGGTCCTATTAAACACGTTCTACACCCCTGCTTAGTAGACTTAATGAAGTATTTTTAAGCCAGTATAAAAATGACAAACACAAATTTACATATTTGGCATTATTGACCAATATCTTTGATTTAATTTATTTGTTAAGAACATCAAGATGCATTACAGTGAACATTATAATAAAATAAATTTTTCTAGTGGAGAGAGGAGACAACCCATAGAAGCACTGATTTGATCTCATTTCAGAGAAAAATAGAACAGGTCAGATGCACCTAATAAATAAAATTACTAACATAAACAGGAATCTGTTTTTTTGCTTAATTGTTCTGGTGCTGAAAATATCACTAATGGGGATCAAAGGAGATACACAGTAGGGCTGGGGGTAAACGATTATTTTTAAAACGATTATTCTGACGATTATTTTATCGAATAGTCGACTATTCTAATGACTATTTAGAAAATTAATCTATTGATTATTTTTCTATTGCACAGTTAATAAAAACCAAAAAATCTCTAATAAATTCCTCAAAAAAATTGATAAATTGTTACTGTAAGAGAATAAACACTACAGGCCTTCATTTTGTATAACACTGCTTTTATTGTGTTGGTTGGTTATGTTCTGGTGACGTGTAGAACTTGGGAGTGCAGGCTGCTGCCTGAGAGTAGGTAGAAGATGGAGTGTCTCCATGCTGCTTTGTTTTGGTCACTTATGTGCGTGAGGCGAGTGGTGTTACGACTCTTCCTGGGGAGTTTGGCTCGTGTGCAAAAAAGGAAGGGACAATAACACGGGATTTAAAAGCTAAAATGATGATCAGGTTTATTTACAACTACAAAAAATCATAAACCTTTCCATCCACAGGTTGGGAATAATAAAACTAATTCTGCCTGTGGGGAATTAAAACAAAAGTACAAATAAGTAGGGATGTCCCACTGGGCAAAGATTACTGGGTTCTGGACAAAAATAAGAATCTCCAAAGGTCCAACTCTAAACTGGGTGGTTAAACCAAACTCAAGGTGATATTTTAAACGAAACCAAAAACCCACAACACTCTAAATGTAATAAAAGAAAGATCTACGCCACAAAAAAAGATTAACTCTAAACCAAAACGTAACAGCTTATCCAAACGCAAGAAGCTGTTAGCGAAAATGCTAACAGTAGCTTTACCAACGTTACGTTCAAGTTACCAAGTTTCTATAAACCAAAAACACCCAGCAGCAAACAGACCAACACAGAGGAGACTGCTACCACCAAAACAGCTCTCCTAATGTCTGAAAGAAGCTCCTTTATAAAGGGAGAAACGCTCCCGGTGATGTTCTACATCTGCGGTAGAGACGGAGCAGCACATCTGACCCCGGAAGTTGTTGTCCGTTGCCGGGAGACGAAGGCGGGCAAAACAGGAAAGGAATCTAGTAGCGGACGGACATTATTCCGGGTCTTCGGTATTTGGCGGAGATGTTAGTGAAGGTGGAGAAGAGGGCGAACTAGAGGAAAAACATGCAGATTCCTCTTCTATTTACAAACTCCTGGGGATGCAACAAGTGGGCGCGGTGCGTCGACTACCGGATCTAACATCGACAAATTTTTAGAATCGAGCCGTTGACGTCATCGAGGCGTCGCTACAGCCCTAATACACAGATTAATGCACCTCTTATTTATTATTTGGAAATTAGTGGGTGTGATTTACATCAATACATAATTATAAATCTGAAATTGATAAGAATTGATCAGAAGTTGCTATGTGTATTGTTTATTTGAAAACTATTTACAGAGCAACCACAGAATTGAGATTAAATATTTTTTATCACAATAATAAAGAAACTATTACAAGTTTTTCAATAAAATCTGAACATTAATATTTAAGTGCATGAATTAATACATCTGAACTCATGCAGTAGGAACTAGGAAATATGAAACACTAGAACCAGACACAACTTTTTAATTTTTATTAATTTTAATTTGATTAAACAGATTTTTTTCCTAACATTGTTGGCATTTTCCCACACACAGTTAAACAAATTAATGTTGATTAAGGTGTGTGTGTGAGAGAGAGATAGAGAGGGCGAGAGGGATAGTTAAAATAATTTTAAAACTACCCGACCGGAGTGGAGGCAGTGACCGACGCATGCACGAGCCGTTTTCAGCTCTGTCTTGTCAAATGCACCACGTACGTTACGAAAAAAGTAACTTTAAATATTGAACTGAAAAAGAGGCGAGCTGAAGAAAACCTAGGGAGTACTGAAGAAACGTGAGCAACAGTGAAGCAAGCACAGAGATCCGTTACTGTCTGTGTGTGTGCGTGGATGCCTGGGCAGAGCTGACTGAGCTCCCGGCTGCAGATGTTGTGTAGGGAGGGGCAGGCGCTCTATGAGACTGGTCAATCACAGAGCGTGAAGACAGCCTGTTTCCCAATGAGGATTTTCCTTCAGCACGATTACAGATGTTAACGAGTTTTACTCGTTTCATGCTCGAATTTGTCAAAAATGCTTTATCCATCTGAAACGAGTATCCGGCTCATCCCTAGCTGTACCCACCCTGCCCTGCCTCCTCCTCCTTGCTGCCTGCTGGCTGTGATCACAAGCAACAACAGAGTAGTTCCCGCTGCTTCATCGTGAAACGGCTCAAAAAAAAAACTTGGGATTTCAGCCGTGGCGGGCAACCACGGCTATGTCTATGTAAGGGAAACACTGCCAACAAGAGGAAGTGATCTGTGCATTTTCCAACTTTCATGGTAATGAGTGAAGATGTGACTGTTGATTCGTTCCTTGTGTTTATATTATCACTCCACTTGTCTGTGTGTGCACGTTTTAGGAGCTGCTGGGTGTGCTTTGCAACAGACGAGGATGATCGCACAGCAGAGTGGGTGCGACCTTGTCGATGCCGTGGCTCAACTAAGTGGGTCCATCAAGCCTGTCTTCAGCGCTGGGTGGATGAGAAGCAACGGGGCAACAGCACAGCTCGAGTGGCCTGCCCACAGTGCAACACCGAATACCTCATCGTTTTCCCCAAACTCGGTGCGTTACTCGATGCTGACCACAAAAATCACACAGAAATTATCACTGGAAATCAAACGTATCAACCCATGAAGGTCTGGATTTGGAGTCACACTAAGAGTTAAAGTGCAAAAACTGGCTGATCCAGCTGTGGTGTAACATCCTTAAAACAAGTGAGATTGAAACTCTGTAGTAGGTGTGGTCTTCATGTGCCTGCATGACCTCCCTACAACACCTGGGCATCAGTTATCACATATTTTTAAATGGTGCCTTCCACTGCCTTGACGGGAGCCCAAGGCGCTGAACAAGACTTAGACTTAAATCATAAAATAACTGAGAGCAATGTAAAAGTGAAAGCAGCATACAAACATAACTAAAAGGTAATTATGAAAAATGAAACACCGATTATGCTAATCTAAAAACGATATTGCGTATAAGCCAAACCTGGACTAAAGCATCCACCACCACCTGGACAGTCTGGGGTGGAAGGTGGCGTTGGTGGATGGAGAGAGACATGATGTCTCAGGTGGACAGGCGGGCCAGTCCATAGCATCAATGCCTTCATCCTGCAGGACCTGCCACTCCAGCCACATGAGGTCTAGCATTGTCCTGCATTAGGAGGAACCCAGGGCCAACCGCACCAGCATGTGGTCTCACAAGGGGTCTGAGGATCTCATCTCGGTACCTGATGGCAGTCAGGCTTCCTCTGGTGAGCACGGGGAGGGCTGTGCGCACCTGCACACCATTTCTGACTCACTGCCAAAGCGGTCATGCTGGAAGATGTTGCAGGCAGCAGAACGTTCTCCACGGTGTCTAGACCAGGCGTCACCAAGTCTGGTTCTCGAGGGTTACCATTCTGCACATGTTAGCTGTTTCTTTGCTTCTACACACCTGATTGAAATGAATGAGTAAGTAACGGGCCTGTGCAGAGTTAATTCAATTCAAGTTTACTTCTAAAGCACCAAATTATGACAAGAGTCGTCTCAAGGCACTTCACATGGTAAACATTCCAATACAGGTCATTTCATTAAGCCAATCAGTAAAAAGTTTCCTGTATAAGTGAACAGTTAAAGAGAGGGTTAATTTACTCCATTCCGGTGTGGCAGAGCAAGAAACAGAAAACTAGCAGTATGGTAGCCCTCGAAGGCTGGAGTTAGTTGACACCTGCTCTAGACTGTGTCACGTCTGTCACATGACCCCAGTACGAACCTGCTTTCATCTGTGAATTCAGTCAACTTTTATTTGTATAGCACTTCCCATCATCCTCAAGGGGGGCCCAAAGCGCTGAACACAACACAAATGAAACATAGAAACAAAACACTAATAAGATAAGGATCAAAAATAAAAAATCGATAACGGCAAGCAAAATTTAAAACTTTTAAAATCAGTTAAAACCAGTCACCGAACAGATAAGGTAAAAGCCGGACGATAAAAATGAGTCTTCAGGCAACTCCTAAAAGCAGCTAAAGATGGAGATAGCTTAATGTTAAGAGGTAACTTGTTTCAGAGGGGCGGGGCTAAAACAGAAAATGCCCTATCCCCACGTGTCCTGGACCTGGAGCGAGGCACAATCAACAGGAACTGGTCTGCTGCGCGATCTGAAGACACATAGATGTCATTTAAAACCCTAAGTAAGGCGGACTCAGTGCTGTGCCCAGACCTAAACCCTGACTGAAATATCTCAAAATAAATCTGAGTCCAATAGATGAGACACCTGCTGCTGGCAAACAACTTTCTCCAGCAGTTTAGAGGTAAAAGGGAGGGTGGAAAGTCGTCTCTAGTTCTCAAACAAAGAAGCATCAGCAGAGGTTTTTTTCAGGATAGGTCAAACCACAGCTGCTTTTAGTGAGGACAGGACCACACCAGTACTCAGGCGACCATTTGTAATGGGGCTGAGGAATGTAAAAGCCTCCTTCCAGAGGTGAGGAGGAAGAACGTTGATTCAATTCAGTTTATTTCTAAAGCGCCAAATCATGACCAGAGAGGACCTTCACACAGTAAACATTCCAACACAGGTCAGGTCATTAAGCCAATCAGTACAAAGTTTCCTATATAAGGAACCCAGCAGGTTGCATCGAGTCACTGACTAGTGTCAGAGTCTTTACAGCAATCCTCATACTAAGCAAGCATGCAGCGACAGTGGGGAGGAAAACTCCCTTTTAACAGGAATAAACCTCCAGAGGATCCTGGCTCAGTATAAGCAGCCATCCTCCACGACTCACTGGGGATCAAGAAGCCAGAGCACACGCACGCACGCACGCACACACACACACACACACACACACACGCACTTTCTTGAGTAAGAAACTAGATGGTGCCATTATCCGATGGCACCATCTAGTGGCTGACAAGCATATCACACAAAAACTCTTGCTCTGTTTGTTTAAGATGGCGACTTCACGTTTCTGTTTATAAATGTGCTTCTGTAGCGACAAACAGCTAAAACACGTTGTTTTACGACTATTATTCTCATGTCATGTTGTGTTCTCATATATTTATATTTTAGAGACTTGTCTGTGAAAAGTTCATCAACTCTGCATCAGCCAATGTATTCCTTAAATTTGAAGCATCTAAGCGGTAGTCTGAACGCTATTGGTTTGTTTTGGTCGGCGCTCAGTTTCCTATTGCATGGAGCTCTGCGGGGCAGGGGGCGTGCTTAGCAAAAAAAAAAAAAGACCTATTGCTTACAATATATCACAGTATATGATGAGATAATCACTTTTTAATGGATTTCTCTAAAACCATACATCATTTCTGAAAGTAGAAAACTCCGGAAAGATATTTTTAAGAGCACAGGGCACCGGTATTCTCTGGCAAATTCCAAACATCCTGCACAGTGTTAGGCTGTAAGTACAACCCCCACCTGTGGACGTTGGGCCCTCATACCACCCTCATGGAGTCTGCTTCTGTTTGACCAGACATTTGTGGCCACATTTGTGGACCACTGGAGGTAATTTCCGCGTCCGTTGGCTTGGCCATGTCCTCCGTCTTTCTTTTGACCATCCAACCAGAGCCATTCTGCAGCTTGACTCGAGAGCCATGGCTGGAGATGACCACAAGGTAAACCCCACACTTGATGGCTCGATGTCATTGCAGGCGACCTCCAACAATTCGGAGTTGCCGTAGCCAATGCAGGCACTGGAAACAACTGGTTCACCTGGTAGGCTCAACGCACTGGTGCTGGACGACACTGACCATTCACTGGAGCCTTGATGATGATGATGGTGGTCACTGGCAGGGCTCTGGCATTCCTCCTCCTAGCACAAAGGCAGAGGTAGCGGTGCTGCTGCTAGGCTCTTGCACTCCTACGGCCTCAGCATCTTCTGATGTACTGGCTTATCTCCTGGTAGCGCCACCATGGTCTGGACACTATGCTGCCAGACACAGCACACCTTCTTAGTGAGATGGGATAATTGGTGAACTTCAGGGGAAAAGGATGCTGTCAGTTTTTTTGTTTTATTACACTTTTGATCAACGAAATGTGGAAATTGTGTCAACCTCCAGTTTAACCCAGTGAAGTACATTTTTATTTATATAGCTCTTATCACAGACATAATCACAAAGTGCTTCACAAAGATCAAAATAAAACATATTGATTTCAAAACTGAAATAGATTAGCATAAAACAAATAGTCAAACTTTAAAATATTTCATAAAATGTGTTAAAATTCGTAAAATTTTAATTATAACCAACTTGTGAAGAACTATTTAATGAGACAAAATAAGATTAATTTTATTATAAAGAGAAAAGTCTCCTTATATGCATTAGACCTTGGAGTTGCAGCAGGATGTAAATAGTGGCAGAAGAGAAGTCAGGCAATGAAATTGTTTTGACTACCTTCTAGGTGGTGCTGCAAGGGATGGTTAATCACGGAATTATTTTGGTACAGGGAAGAACACAACATTCCCAGCAGAGCAAGGCTGTTGGACACCCGACTGTCTATTTGACCTCTGACATTGCTGTGGACAAATAAATTTGTTAGCCTTTCCCAACATTACAATTGTATTCAGAGAGTAAGTCTCGTCTTTTGCATGGGACCTTGAAGGTCAGATAAGGGAGTCAGGAGATGGAATTTATTATGGCTTCCCTTCTTGGTAGCAAAGTCATTGAGCAGTGTGTTGTAATGGAAAATAGTAGAGTAATGTGGGCTAAATAAATGGCTTTTAAAGCTATTTATTTCTATTCTCATTACTTGTGACCAATAGCTGTAATGCTCTTTTAATTATGGAATATCACCTTGCTTGGTCTTAGGATGCTTAATTAGAAGTCGTCGTCGTCTTCCTCCACTTATCCGGGTCGGGGTCGCGGGGGCAGCATCCCAACTAGGGAGCTCCAGACTGTCCTGTACCCAGCCACCTCCACCAGCTCCTCCGGCAGGACCCCAAGGCGTTCCCGGACCAGATTGGAAATGTAACCTCTCCAACGTGTCCTGGGTCGACCTGGGGGCCTCCTGCCGGCAGGACATGCCTGAAACACCTCCCCAGGGAGGCGTCCAGGAGGCATCCTGACCAGATGCCCAAACCACCTCAACTGACTCCTTTCGATCCGGAGGAGCAGCGGTCCTACTCCGAGTCCCTCCCGAATGTCCGAGCTCCTCACCCTATCTCTAAGGCTGAGCCCGGCCACCCTATGGAGGAAACTCATTTCGGCCGCTTGTATTCGCAATCTTGTTCTTTTGATCATTACCCAAAGCTCATGACCATAGGTGAGGATTGGGATGTAGATCGACCGGTAAATCGAGAGCCTGGCTTTCTGACTCAGCTCCCTCTTCACCACGACAGGTCGGCTCAGCGTCCGCATCACTGCAGACGCCGAACCAAATCCCCCTGTCGATCTTCCGATCCCTCCTACCCTCACGCGTGAACAAGACCCCGAGATACTTAAACTCCTCCACTTGAGGTAGGACCTCTCTCCCGACCCGGAGTTGGCAAGCCACCCTTTCCCGGTCGAGAACCATGGTCTCAGATTTGGAGGTGCTGATCCTCATTCGAGCCGCTTCACACTCAGCTGCGAACCTACCCAGCAAGTGCTGAAGGTCAGAGCTGGATGAAGCTAGGAGGACCACATCATCCGCAAAAAGCAGAGACGAGATTCTCCTGCCACCAAACTCGACACACTCCACACCACGGCTGCGCCTAGAAATTCTGTCCATAAAGGTTATGAACAGAACTGGTGACAAAGGGCAGCCCTGGCGGAGTCCAACCCTCACCGGGAACAGGTCCGACTTACTACCGGCTATGCGGACCAAACTCACGCTCCTCTGGTAAAGGGACTGAATGGCCCTTAACAAAAGGCCACCCACCCCATACTCCTGGAGCGTCACCCACAGGCTGCTCCTTGGAGTAGACCTTTCCAGGGAGGCTGAGGAGTGTGATCCACCTATAGTTGGAACACACCATCCGGTCCCTCTTCTTAAAGATGGGGACCACCACCCCGGTCTGCCACTCCACAGGAACTGCCCCCGATGACCACGCAATGTTGCAGAGACGTGTCAATCATGACAGCCCTACCACATCCATAGCCTTGAGATACCCAGGGCAAATCTCATCCACCCCCGGGGCTCCGCTGCTGTGTAGTTGTTTGACTACCTCAGCAACTTCTGCCCCAGAGATTGGACAGTACATCCCCAGGTCTCCCAGCTCTGGCTCCTCCTCGGAATGCGCGTAGGTGGGATTGAGGAGCTCCTCAAAGTATTCCTTCCACCACCCGACTATAGCCCCAGTTGACGTCAGCAGCTCCCCATCCCCACTGTAAACAGTGTGAGCGAGTTTATGCCTCCCTCTCCTGAGGCGCCAGACAGTTGGCCAGAACCTCCATGGCCTCACCAAACTCCTCCCACGCCCGAGATTTTTCCTCGGCAACTGCTCCTCCTTGAACCGTCACCTTATCGTGGTGGAGGAGTTTGAGTGCCACGTTGTCTGGGGCACTTTGTGCCCCTGGTAGAGTCTCCCATGACAAATGGGTCTTAGGTGAAGAGCGAGATAAAGAACGGTTCAGAAGATCTTTCATGGACGTAAAAACAAAGGGTCGGGAGTACCCGGCCCGGAGGGTTACCGGGGTCCCACCCTGGAGCCTGGCCTGGGGTTGGGGCCTGTGAGCGAGCGTCTGGTGGCCGGGCTTTCGCCCATGGGGCCTGGCCGGGCCCAGCCCGAACCGGATACATGGGCTCATCCAACTGTGGACCCACCACCTGCGTATTAAGGGATCGTTAACACTAAATAAGAATTTATTTTACAAACAATTAAGACTTGACAAATGGTTTAAACTATTATCCTGTGAGTGGATGGAACTTAAAGATGGTGTGTGAAAACTATATGTGAATATGAGATGATGAATCAGAATCTCCGTATCTTCAGAGAGGTGCGTTCTGGATAAAAGAATTTGGTTTGCAGATAAGCTATAAGCTTTTATTTATCAAACTGCATACAGACACTTATCTGTGTGTCTACATTACTGTAGAGCAGGGGTGGGGAACCCTGAACCATGGAGGGCCGCTATCCAGCATATTTTAGTTTCAACCCTGCTTCAACACATCTGATTTCAATCAGCAGGTGATTAACAGGCTTCTGCAGAGCCTGATGAGCTGCTGAACTGGTGAATCAACCACTGAATTAGAAGTGTTGGAGCAAAGACATGCAGGATACCGGCCCTCGAGGACCAGGGTTCCCCACGCCTGCCGTAGAGGCACCCTCTTGGTGGATCCGAAAGTCAGAGTGGTCGGATGACCGCTGTCACCGGAGGGCTGTAGAGTACTGAGGTGCTGTCCTTTCAGTCCTAGAGATGTGTCTCGGGTCACGACAGATAACTCTGAAGGAGTTTGAGTCAGCTTTGTTCTGCAGGAAAACTATCTTGTTGTTCAGCTTCGCAGGTGTGAAAAAGATTTAAGGGTTTGACAGTGTGTCAAAGTCTTTCTGAGCTAGAGATCTGCTAAGAGATGGCCAGTCTCCAGCTTTCTCTCCCGCCTGACGAGAAAGCAGAGCGGCTGGTTTATATACCCGCTGTTATCTATTACCAAACTTACCAAGAATATCAGAAACACATGCTCTGAGACGCAGAGTCTCTGAGTCTAGGGACAAGATTAGTTATGTGTCATGCGTTCTTAATTTTACTTCTTGTTTGGTGCGTGAGCAGATAATGATGACCTCATCTAGTAAACATACTAAACATCAATGAATACAGATTCCAGAACATTTCATTGCTTAATTATACATGGCAATATGTAATGATTTTTAATCATAAAATCTTCTTTCTTCAATGATTATTTTGATTTATAAAATGATTACTTTAATTATGAAATCTTTCTTCTGGGAATAAAGATTTATCTAAAACCGTGCTCTTGTGAAGGGCCTTGGCTGCTACTGTTCATCTTTATTATCTGATGAAGCTGCGGTCCTGCTGATGAAGGCTATGATTAAAGGGACTGTGTGCAGGGAAAATACAGTATAATGTGACATAGCCAGGGTTAGATGACCTAATCTCAAAATCAGGCCACTTCATGACATTACAGTGTTTTCTGATTTGGAGACCAGATGTAGCACACTGTTGAAGCACACAATACTCCAGGCAGATGGAACAGGCTGGACACTTTTGTGTGATGACCTCTGACCTTACAATGGACAAATAACCTTGTTGGCCTTTCCCAACATTACAACAATAAAGGAAGATTTTTCCACAGGAAGTGCAACACTGGAAAGACCAATCACCTTGACTCTTATATCTGGTCTTTAGAACTTCTAGAAGGTTCTGGTGTGTGGACATGAGGGCACGGGTTGGAGCATAAGGCTTTAATAGTTGAGTAATATTGGGAAGAGCTTGACTATGTAGAGCCCTGAAAGTTGTAGTCAGGATTCTAAAATGAACTCTAAAGTTAACGGGTAACCAGTACAGAGACATCAGAATAGGAGTGATGTGTGCTCTTCTGTTTGCTCCAATTAGGAGCCTCACTGCAGAGTTGTGGACCAACTAAAGGCGGTCAAGGGCTTTTTTGTTAAAACATGTGAAAAGTGTGTTACAGTAATCTAGTTGGGAGGAGATAAAGGCATGGAGAACCATTTCAAGTTCATGTTTTGACACCAACCTTTGCAGTTTGGAGATGTTTAAGTGACAAAAACTGTTTCGGACCAATGTTTTGAGTGGCCTTAGAGACATTGATTGGTCAAAAACACCCAAATTTCTTAAGTTCGGCTTGATGGTGGAAGATAAATGACCAGGTTTTTAACTTGGTAAATGGCCTGTATTTGTATAGTTTTTGACAGGGGTCCATGCTCTCGGGGGCAATGATCAGACATCCAGTCTTTTCAGTGTTTAACTGAAGGAAGTTATCTTCTAGCCAGCTGGTGACAGCTGATAGACACTAGTAATTCAGACAGTTTATAGAACTCAGAATCCTTAAAGGAGCAGTACAGCTGAATATCATCTGCATATAGGTGATAAGAGATTATGAAAAGAGTCAATTATCTGTCCAAGAGGGTGTTTGTGTAGTAGAAACAGTGGACCCAAAACAGAGCCTTAGGGCACCCCACAGAACAGATGGGTAGAATCTGACATGATTTGGTTTCTAAACTGTAACTTGTAAATGGCCTGTATTTAGAGTTCTACAATCCCCCAAGGCGCTTCACAACGCAATCAGTCATTCACCAATTCACACGCTGTAGCTACAGCTACCCTGGGGCGCACTGTCAGAGACGAGGCTGCCGAGCATTGGTGCCACCAGTCACTCCGACCACCACCAGCAGGCAAGACGGGTTAAGTGTCTTGCCCAAGGACACAACAGTTCCAGAGATCCCCACCGAGTCACGAAGTTTGTTAATGAAGGTGCTGTGATCAACAGTGTCAAAAGCTGCAGAAAGATCTAACAACACTAATACTGTGAACTCCTCGTTGTCTGCAGCCAGTTGTCAAAGTTCCCTCCTGCTGGAGTCTGCTCCTCTGAGATGGTTAATAGGATGGGTCTGAGGGAGGAAATCAGGTTACTTTCTTTTAAATATTGCATGATTTCCCTGGAGCCTGTTGGGAATGCCAGAGAAGAGGCGGGAGCTTCAGGTGAATCATCATTATGAGCTCATTAAAGGACATAGAACAAAGCTTCCTGGCATCCATCTTCTCATTAAACTCAATGGTTCCTCCTGAATAGAGCAGGTTAAAGGAAATTATTAAACGTTTTCAATAAATCAATGAGTAAAGATTGTAGATGCGTAATAACAGTTTCTAGCTTCAGGGACAAATAAAGAGCTCTAATATTTTGGCCCCACAGGTCCTGTGGTCTACGTTCTGGACCTGGCAGACCGGCTCATCTCTAAAGCCGGTCCCTTTGCTGCAGCTGGGATTATGGTGGGCTCCATCTACTGGACCGCGGTCACCTACGGAGCCGTCACAGTCATGCAGGTACCACTGCATGTTGTGGCTTCATGCAAGTCTGACTTTTAGCATCCATGTGTGTCTCCATGCGGGTTTCTGCTGTCTCTATAAAAACTCCAAATATGAAAATAAAACGGGCCATCTGTCGGTAAGCTGACAATCTCCCTGTGGTTCAACATCAGATGCATATTGGTCCCATATTGTGTTCTGAACCAATGAGATTTGAAAATATCAGAAGGTGTTTTTTATTAGACATATTTTTTTCCACAGCTGAACGTGAATTTAGGGTTGGGCATCGTTTGATTTTGAATGATTCCGATTCCTCGTTTCGATTCCGGTTCCTATCTATTCCGATTCTTTAAAGACAGGACATGTTTTACATGAGCCAGCTAACCACAGGTCCTACTTGATGAAATAATCTTAACTTCAACATGAATTTTAACTCTATGAACAACAACATCACCTTCATTTAGACAAAAACATGTTTTGGAGAAAAAAAGAAAAAGACTTGCAGCACAACCAGTGTGTTTGTTTCTGACCACAACCAAAGTCTGGAAGAAGCCTCTGGGATGAGAGGCTAAATGTCTCCAACACATCCAGAAACGTCCAGCTGTTTTCAGCTAAAGCTCTCAGGATGATCATGTCCAGGATGACTGAGAACTACACCTCCATGCTGCAGCAGCTTCAGTCAGAACAGAAAGTGAAACTTAAACGTAGCTGCTGTCAGTAACAATCTAACAGATTTTAAACATTAAAACTCAACAGAAACAGTTCAGAAAGGAAATTTCACAGCTTCGTGTATGATTTATTAGTATTATAATTATTTATTGTGGCAGAAGCTGGTGTGGCCCACCACAGAGAAGCTGCTCTAGCATGATGACTTTAATGTACAGGTTATTCTGACACACACGTACGCACACACATGAGTGTTGGTGAGCGGCTGTGTCTGACTGCTGACGCTCCGTGTGCGTTTTTATTTCTGCAGTGAGACAAACTCACCTCACACCATTCAGAGTTTGTTCTTTAAAGCTTCTATTAAAGTTTCCTCTACGCTGCAAGAGTTAAAGTTGACATCACGGAGTAAAAGTTCGGCAGACACGTTTGTTTGGATTTGACCGCTGCACGCCGGGTGGGGGAGACGGTGCTGCACACACCGCTGGTGTGCATCTCTGAAAAGCCTTGATCACAATTTGCAGATCACGTTTATTTTTCACAGAGATTGGCCGCGGATTCCTCTTTCATCGGCATACTAGGAATCTAAACTAGGAATCGAAATAAATGTTTAGCAATTCTGGGAAAAATGAACAGTTGGAACCGGTTCCAATCGATGCTCGATGCCCAACCCTAAATTACGTGATGTTATAGACCTGCTTTGGGAAATAACTTTTGTCTGGGATTCTAAACTGTACACCCAGCTGTTCCACTCTGTGGTTCTGGTTAGGAATTGACCTTCCTGTCTCTTCACTCAACATCATCATCAGCGGAGCTACAACGTTAACTAACCAAACTATGCCCACCATTGAACTGTTGGGTCCCTAATTTAAATCCAGGGAAATAAGTTGTGACTTTATCAAGAAAAACCTTTTAAATCTTTTTATAAATGGCCTGTATTTGATATAAAAACATTTGATCTATCGATAGTTTAAAGGGACTTTACGGAGTTTTGAATTTTTATGCTCGCGATTGCCCCCTCAGGCCAAAAGCGTAACGGCACCTTCAATAGTAGGCTCGTGTAAATAAATAAAAGATAGTAGGCGCATGCTGTACGTGCACACTCATTAACGAAAATAACAGCTGAGACAGTCCCTTGTGTGTGTGTGTGTGTGTAGCCCAGAGGACAGGAGAACGCGCAGCTAATTAATTAATTTGGTTCTGTACCTTTCTCTTCAGCACAGCCGACAAAGGTTTATGATGGGTCAGTCCTGCATGCTCAGATCATTCCCTTCCCTTACATGAAAAATTGTTCCAAAATGAAAGTTGAACCCACATCTTTTTTATCTGTGAATTCAATGCCATTTGGCGAGTCTCAAATAAAAATGTGGGTTACTGTAAAAAAATTATACCATTAATGTAAAAAAGAAACTCTAAATAAACTATGTTCACACCCAGAATCAAACCCGGGTCTCCTGCACGAGAGCCCAATGTCTAACTAGGTGAGCTAAAGCATCAATGACGTCTTTGGTATTTGAAACATTTATATCCTTGATGACAGCTAAAACAACGTTCAAAGAACAGCGACAAAGTCGCTGAGTTGGCACTACCTCACTCTCTGCTGCTAAAGCTACTGATAGCAAATGCTACGGGCTATGCCTGAGCGTGAACGCGCCTGAAGCAGCCTGCTCGACCCGAGTAGCTCTTTTTCTGTGATTTTACAGAAAAACAGGCAATCACAGTAAAAATGCCAGGGCTCATTCTACAGGACCAGGGCATTGCAGGAGCATGTATGAAGAAGAAATGTATTATTTCTATACATGTTTTGGCTGTCAGACTTCCATAATGTCCCTTTAAAGACAGTAAAATGCTTTATTTTTTTTACCGACTTGTAACTTCTCACTAAACTCATGTCCATGTAGATTTAAAACTTAGTATCCTGGAAATTTAGACTTTTTTGGTTCTCTGCAAATAAAGACATTTGGTGTGACTCCGCAGTAAAGCTGATGTGCTTCCATCCAGGTTGTGGGGCATAAGGAGGGCTTGGATGTGATGGAGCGGGCCGACCCGCTGTTCCTGCTCATTGGGCTGCCCACCATCCCTGTCATGTTGATCCTCGGAAAGATGATCCGCTGGGAGGACTACGTGCTGCGTCTGTGGAGGAAGTACTCAAACAAGCTGCAAATCCTCAGCAGCATCTTCCCAGGTGGAACCTCTAAAACTTGTTACTGGGGATTGGCGTTAGCAGCTTCTGCTTGGAAATGTCTTTGTTTACATGAATTGTTTTAATTTCAAAACTATTTTAATCGACTACCAGAGCAGGTGTCACCAACTCCAGTCTTCGAGGGCTACAATCCTACTGGTTTTCTGTGTTTCCTGCTCAACCACATCTGAATGGAGTCATTTAAAGTGAGAGTAAGGCATGGGTGGAACCCTAACATGCAGGATGGTAACCATCAAGGACCAGAGTTGGTAACCCTTGTACCAAAATCTCAGGACAGGAACGTGAGAAAATAAATCACATTTTCAGGAATCACTTAATTTGTGAAATGAAGGATAAAAAAGTAAATGGCCTGTATTTAATGCAGGCCTTCTAGAATCCTAGAACCCCCAAGGAGCTTTACAACACAACCATTCACACATTGGTGGCACTGATAGAAGTGAGGCTGTGGTAGCTGTCTCCCCAAACACCAGCAAGCAGGTGTGTGTGTGTGTGTCTAAATCAGATGGAGCGCGAGGTCATTTTCAAAAATGAGTCAGTTTTAAATTTTGTCTGAAACAATTGTTTTTTTTTCGTTTCCTCCTAAAACATGGACCCCCCCCCATTGCAGGAACTGTGCCAACTTGATGGCTGGTTGGTAGTTAAACTTAATAAAATAAGACCAAATTCAGACACTTTTTGACTAAATGGCATCAAGAAAATTAGTCCTTTTGTTTTCCAAATGTAAAACTTGTCATACATTCTGGAATTTCCAACCGTCTCCACTAGTTACCAACAGTTGGTTGAAGGACCAGAGCAGAAACGTTAATTCTGCACATTTTTCATCTGCAGACAGACTAATAACTCCGGCCTCTCCAGTATCAATAACTAACTACACACGTTTGAACTGCAGGCATCGGCTGTCCCGTTCCTCGGATCCCAGCAGAGCCCAGTCCCCTGGCTGACCATGTGTCAGCCACACGGATCCTGTGTGGCGCTTTGGTCTTCCCAACCATCGCCACCATTGTAGGGAAGCTCATGTTCAGCAGCGTCAACTCCAACCTGCAGAGGACTATCCTGGTGGGTTTAAACACACAGATTCTGATTCGATGTATACGTCTGAACACGTTTGTAGGTGCTCTGACAGTCTTCTCTCCCCCCGCCCCCAAAAAAACCCAACAGGGAGGCATTGCTTTTGTGGCCATCAAAGGAGCGTTTAAGGTTTACTTCAAACAGCAGCAGTACCTGAGACAAGCTCACCGCAAGATTCTTAACTTCCCCGAGCCCGAGGAAGCCTGAGGATGAAGCATAGTCACTCCTCACCGTGTGACGCCTCTCACTTTGCAGATTGATGCAATCACTAAACTGCAGCTACAAACCTGTTTCCCATGAGGCCGTGCTGTGCCTGCTTCAATCCCATAATACTAAACATTCAGTATTTTAAAAGCAGGATTTGTGCAAACCCGGAGTTTTATGAGATGATTGTTTTGTGTTGTCTCCTTGATATGAGTGAAGGCTGATGTAGAAGGATGAAAATGAACTATTAATGAAACGCTAACGTTGATCGGCTGAGCTGGAGATCTGCAGTGTTTCGTTAAAGCTCAAGATTTAAAAGCCCTCTTGTTTAATTTCTGCGATGATTATAAGTTAAAGTTCTTTAAAATGACAGAATTATTCAGGTCAGAGCTGGATTTGTGTCACCACTGAGATAAACGAATGCTTTGTGATGAAATGCTTGTTTAATCTGAAGGATCCAACTTGTCACTGGTCTCTGCTTAGCCTGTAGAGAAGATGTGAACTTGTTCAACATGTTACTTTTGATCACTGACATATCTGTGAATAAATGTATTTTTCCAGACACCAAAGACTCTGAATTGCATTTCGAAGGCAGAGCAACCAAAATGTTTTCATTTGCTTGTTTTATTTAGAAACACACAGGAGACAAAGATCAAACTTAAAACATGAGCCCTCTCCACTGCCCCTTTAACCTAACCAGCCAATCACAATCATCTCACATTCAAAAGTACATTTGTACATGTAAAACCATTCTAGGTACATTACATGGTTAATCCTACACAGCCTTACCCGAGTTCCTGCTTAAACGCGTCTGTGAGTAAGACCAACTTCCATGGGTTATTGCTCTTCAACCATAAGATAATGTAGTCATTAAACCAAATTCAAGGAAGAACTTGTTTTTGGTCTGTAGTAAAACAGTTTAAAAATAGTAATCTACAAACTTAAAACACACTTTTTCTACAGCCAGAATTTAATTAAATTAATAATCCTAATTTACCAGTAAAATTGTTTAGAACAAACAGCATGGATTTACCCCTGAGGTGTTTTGAGTATTCTAGTGTAAAACACAATCGAGTGGTTTAAAAGCAGCTCGTTAATGGGGCCCAACATTTTACCAGCTGACAGGCAAAAACATAAACAAGCTTTAAACGATAATAAGGCTCCAGAAATGCATACACTACAAGTGCTTTATCTGCGACGAGGCATTTGAGTTACATGCTATTCAATTAAACTTCGACAGTGGCTTAGCTTGTCACAACAATCTCTGTAAAGCGGCATCAGCTGAAATCAAAGAGCTCCTGTGTGGACGGGTCTGACCCTTATTCAAGTTGTTTATTTCCTTTACAGCCAACGTGGCTCTGAAGCATTGTGTGTGTGTGTGTGTGTGTGTGTGTGTGGGGGGGGGGGGGGGGGGGGGGGGGACAGTAATATTAGGTGAGCTAGGTGAAACCTCTAGAGTTATCACAGCTACTTCAACAGCCACAGCTAAATTTGGGGGGTTCTTTTCATACAGAACATCTCCTAAGTAGCTGCTGCCACACACACACACACACACTCACACACACACACACACACACACACATGCAGGCTTCACGCTGCTTCCCGTCTCACAGCTTGGCAGACATGAAGTTGATGTGAGGTTTCACCAGAGGGAACAGAGGCAGGCTTCTCTTAAACTCAGTCATGTCATGGACCAACGAGGGCTGTAAAGAAAAGAGTGCGAGCTGCAGGTTAGATGCATCTGATTAGCGTCACACTACAATGAGACCAGTGGTAGGAGACCAAATGTTTTGAGATCAATCTACTCGATTGAGAGCTTTCTTTTAACTACTTATTTAAATTTTCTTTTATCTACATTTTTTATCTCATTGGCACTTTTTGTTCTCACAAATGTCTTCTTATTTTGTTTTTAATGTTTTTATGACTTGCTACTTTTATCTTTGTTACTTTTGTTGTCCAGTGCCTTGGGCCCCCTTTGAGGGTGATGGAAAGCGCTACTTAAATAATCTGCACTTGTATAGTCCTCTCAGAGTAAGGACTCCAAAGCGCTTTACACTACAGTGTATCATTAATCCATTCACACACACATTCACATGATGAGCTACGATGTAGCCACAGCTGCCCTGGGGCGCACTGACAGAGGCGAGGCTGCCGAGCACAGGCGCCACCGGTCCCTCCGACCACCACCAGCAGGCAAGGTGGGTTAAGTGTCTTGCCCAAGGACACAGTGGCAGAATTCTCTGTCCGGAGCCGGGATCAAACCTGCAACCTTCCGATTACTGGACAACCCGCTCAACCTGTTGAGCTACTGCTGCCCTTACCATCAACCCTCCACCACCATGCTGATATCATTTTGTTTCCTACAAACATGCAAAGTGAGTTTCTACAAATATGATTGTTGTTGAACATCAACTTTATATAGAACAATCCTGATGTAAATGTGGTTCTGGATTTACTAGGATCACTATCTTTTATAGGTTTGAATGGTTGTTAAAATGCTGATTGCATATTGCAGGAACAAAATGTTGAAGTACTAAGGTTTAAAATGTAACAGTTGTTGTCTTTATGAAATGTTTTTTTATATGTGTATTATGGAAATGACCCCAGGAAGAGAAGCTACCGGAGCATGCTGCAGAAGCTAATGGGGATCAAATAAATAAACAAACTGGTGTAAACCCCAACGTACAGGCACCGAGATGGGGGGCAACAGTATGCCCACCGCTGCTTGGCGCCTCTCAGTGGGAGGAACTCCTGAGTGGTAGAAGGTCCAACCCCTCTTGAGGAAACTGGTTTGGGAACCAGAGCCATGCGTTGATGTATTTTATTAAACAAATGAGTTTTATAATTCATTTGAGTTTATATTTAACTCATTTTAAGACCAGATGGACCCAGATGATTCCACTCGTCTTAATTCGTATTAAAACCATTTATTTAATAAAAAACTTTTATGATGACACAGGTGGAAGTGTAAGACCTGAGTGCAGATAACCGACGTGAGCAGTTTGAGGAAGCTTAAACAGCGTCTCAAGTACCTGTGGCAGGGAAGGAGCAGGAGTCAGGTTGATATCGTTCTGAGCAGGAAACTCGCCAACTACAGGACCTGTTGCACAGATCATCAGGGACAAGTCACCTTCAGCATACCAGCTGAGGCATACTCATTGAAGTATTAAATACTCACAGGAGTCCATCTCTCTGGACAGGACGTGCACAGACACCTTGTGTCTCTTTGGAGCCTCGACAGTCAACCGCTCCTGGGAAAAAGACCAGTTAAGGATTACATTTGGGTTTTTTTGTTAGTTTTTCTTAATACAGAACATGAGCTAACATTTTTAGAGATTTAATAAAACTTAAAACTATGGTTTTAGGATCATTTTAGGATTGCTCACCATCATGGGACAAAATTCTGATACTTACTTTGTAGAAGTGCGTTACGTTGTCTTTTGTCAATGTTTTCAGATGTGCTACTTCAATGTTATCTACAAAAAAACAAAAAAACAAAAAAAACAAAGCTAACAAGTGTCAACAAAGACCAAGCAATTATGAAAACAGTCAGCAGAATGATCTCAGCCTTACCTCGGTCAAAGTTATACTGCTGAGAGATGATCTCTCCCCAGTACTTGGCACACTCAGCAGAAAGTTTCTTGGGTTTATCCAGGCGGCGGATGGCCAGGGCTTGAATGTGTTTCTGAAAGCTCTCTTCATTCATGTCCCCCAGAGTCTTCTCCATGGTGAGGAGGAAGGCCTCCACACGGCTCTCCAGGTAGTGAGGCGCCTTCTCTGACTGGATGATGAAGCGTAGACCTTGCACCCCATTGGCCCGCCGAGGCCCACTAAACACAATGTAACCTTGGGAAATTTGAGGGGAGAAGTATGTAAGTTGAGTGTAGAAATAGCTTGTATCGACATATAGTGTGGAATGTCACCTCTCTGGTGAGGATTGAGCCTGAGTTGGTGTGTAAGGTTAATAGGTTCCAACTAAATATAATTGGACTGCTTGATGCATGGCTCAGGAACCAGATTCCTCGAGTGAGGTTGGACTTTCTACCACTCTAGAGTTGCTCCCAATGAAATTCACCGAGCAGGGGTGGGCATACTTGTTGCCCCCATCCTGGTGCCTGTATGTTGGGGTTTACGGGGGGTTTTATGGGGGAGGCTTCCTGGCTTACCGGAAAATTAATGAGCTGTTGAGGAACATTGGCCTGCTCCCAGAGCTCAGAGATGGTTTGCACCGCACTGTGAATTCACAGACTCATAATTGTCGAGATGAATCGTAAGCTTGGAACTTTGGTCGAGATTCATACATTGGCACAAAAGATGGATGCCATCAAGAATAGAGTGGACGAATCAGCACAGATTGGAATAGATTAATGTCCATTATTGGGATTTTTAGAGGTTGAGGACCAAGGAACTTTAACACAGAGAGGAAATTATCTCTGTCAGACCCCAAAACAATTTCAAATCAGAATTTGGCGCCCTTGAGCCTGCAAGGCTCCAACGAAAACACCTCCCTCAGAAGATATGTGGGATGTGCCGTCGCTATGGCAACTCAACTCTGTCTCCTATCCAAGCCTGGACGGGACTGCGGGAAGTCCGCCGAATCGTTCCAGGGTCACTGCAACCCTCCAACCCTCAATGTTCCTCCCCCTATCCACACTGAGGTGATGTGCGCTGCTTGTAGTGGCTGCAGGAACCGAAGTGTGGATAGTCCCAAACCCACCACCCCACCTAGTAGACACTTATGTTGTGTGATGTCTGAAGTCTGTTGCATATCTGTCTGAGGTGGTTTTTTTTTGCAGAGCATAGCTGCCCCCCCGGTGGAGGGTAACTCTGAAGTGCCTTTTTTCCCCCTCCACCTGAACCAATCCTCATGTAACCCTCTGACCTCTATTAATGTGGCACGACTCAGGGTTGCGAATGACCACAGTCACCAATTCTTGTCATGTGTCTTGCCTATGTATGTGTCTGATTTCTGAATTGTGTGTACTGAAACTCTAATTTCCCTCTGGGATTAATAAAGTATCTTTGAAATGAATTGAATTTACCCTGGAGAACTGAGGGTATTAACTTGTTATATCAAACACATACTGATTTGTGACATAAATAGATCATTGTAAGAACAATATTCATTTTAAATTAATTGATTTAAGCACAGATTATTCAAACATTTGATTTAAACATCTTGTTCATTCATCACATATGATTATTTAAACTTATAAGTTGTAAAGTCATGTAGGAGCTTCGAGTAGATGGTGAGGAATCAGCAGTCTGACTTTTATGCAGAGAGTGCAGGACCTTGGGTGAGAATGTCTGTCTGGATGTTTTGTCTTCTTGTATGTAAACACGCGCTGAGTAGAACATTCTGGATTTGGAGGCCAAATAGAAAGTGGATTTCTAAGATTACTAAGAAATCACAATGTAACCATAGAAACACTACTTGTTTGTGTGTGTGTGTGTGTGTGTGTGTGTGTGTGTGTGTGTGTGTGTGTGTGTGTGTGTGTGTGTGTGTTGGCTCTGTCTTCTCCATCCCCAGTGAGTCGTGGTGGATGGCTGCTTATACTGAGCCAGGATTCTCTGGAGGTTTCTTCCTGTTAAAAGGGAGTTTTCCTCTCCACTGTCGCTGCATGCTTGCTTAGTATGAGGATTGCTGTAAAGACTCTGACACTAGTCAGTGACTTGATGCAATTTGCTGGGTTCCTTATATAGGAAACATTTTTCTGATTGACTTAATGAATAGACCTGTATTGAAATGTTTATTATGTGAAGTGCCTTGAGATGACTCTTGTCGTGATGTGGCATTTTATAAATAAACTTGAATTGAATTGAACTGGATGTTGGTCAAAATGTTGGTGATAATTGATCCTTTTGGTACATTACACTGAGATGTCAAAAGAAAACTTCTCAGTGGCAAGGCACCGGGAGTGGGTCCTGTGGGGGGTTGGAGTTGGTGGGTACTTCGGGAGTATGGGGTACCAGGCCCTCTGATATGGGCTGTTAGGTCTCTGTATGACTGGTGTCAGAACTTGGTCCACATTGCCGGCAGTAAAGCCTAATTCATGCTTCTCCGTCTGCGTCAGTGCGTAGACACGCAATGCCATTATCCGTCCTTGCGTAGGGCCCAGGCAGGCACGCAAGTACGTACGGAGTCAAGCCCACTTTTTTTAAACATCCGTCGAACGAGACGGAGAACACAAAGCTTGTGATTGGTCAGGGCACTGCTGTCGTCTACACCGCCGCCACTGCGCCATCAAAAACATAAAGAGAGTCGAGAATAACTAACGGCAGACACGGAGAAGCTTGAAGAATACCTCGCGAAAAAACTAACGATATGAACGTTTAATTCCCCCGTGACTGGAGGAGTGAAAAGATGCGCAGCAAGCGTTTTATTTGTGGACGGAAATGAAACGTGGGTTTAGAGGTGGCGAGTGCATGAAGAGGTGGAGGAGAATGAGAGACAAATGTGTCCATGTTAAAAAGTGTCTAATGGGCCATTCCCATCTGTACCAGGTCGGCCCGGGCCAGGTAGCCCCAGTCGGCCCCAGCCTGGCCCGGTTGATTCCACACATCCTTGTCTTAAGCCCATGTGGGCTGATTCTACCCACCAATCAGAGGCTTGCTCTAATGGAAGGTGTGAATTTGCTGTCAGCAGTGGGTGTGTTGGCCCTGATCGGCCTGAAGCAGACCCCCTCGAGAAGAGGGCTGAGAATGAGTCTTGGTTGGCCCAGAAAAATACCAGGCCACCCAGATATGTAAACAACCTACGCTACCCGGCCTAAGCCGACCCGTTACAGATGGGAATGGCCCATTATATACAAAAAACACAATATAAACACACTATCTTGGACCGGATACATGACAGGATCCCACAGAACAGCGCTACGCCCTCTGCTGTCCTGCTGGGGAATTCCTTTGCAAAACTCCCCAGGAGAGGGAGAAGTATGAGAGCAAAACGCTTCCGTCAATCCGTGCGTGTCTGTCCCTTGCGGAGCTGACGGAGAAGCATGAATCAGGCTTAAGTCAAGCTCATTTCCATTGAGTTGGACTCCACCAAGGCTGCCCTTTGTCAGCTATTCTGTTCACAACTTTTATGGACAAGAATTTTAGGTGCGGCCAAAGTGCTCAGGGGATCCGTTTGGGTGGCCTACAGATCAGGTCTCTGCATTTTGCAGATGGTGTGGTCCTGTTGGCTTCATCAGACAATGATCTCCAGCATTCGCTGGAGCAGTTCGCAGCCGAGTGTTAAGCGGCTGGGAAGACAATCATTTCCTCTAAATCTGAGACCATGGTCTTGACCTGGAAAAGGGTAGAATGCCTTCTCCAGGTCAGGGATAAGGTCCTGCCTCATGTGGAGGAGTTTATATATCTCGGGGTCAAGTTAAAAAGTGAGGGAAAAATAGAGCTTAAGATTGAAAGTACTGCAGGCGTTGTACTGGTCTGTTGTGATGAACAGATAGCTGAGCCAGAAGGCACAGGTTTCGATTTACTGGTCGATCTACGTTTCAATCCTCATCTATGGCAAGCTTTGGGTAGTGACCGAAACGAAGAGATTGTGAATACAAGTGGTCGAAATGAGTTTTCTCCACAGGGTGGCTGGGCTCTCCCTTTGAGATGGGTTGAGAAGCTGAAGTGGCCGAAAATGTCAAGAGGTCATCTACAAAAAAGTATAGAGCTGAATTGTGAATCTTTGGGTTAAAACCTGATGGGAAGGTTAGTGAGCTGTTTTTTTCCCATTAGCTCCAAAGGAATTTCCTGTTTCGGCCAACGTGGAGATGTGCTTCCAATAAAGTCTGATGCTTATCTGACATGTTAACAGTAAACTGATGTGAACCAGAATGTTCCTGTGTTCCAGTCAAAGGTTTCAGGACCAGTTCCAGGAAACCGTGCTTATCTGAGTTCGGGGATACACACAGATGTTTCCTGCCCGTGTATGGGTTGCTGGGTCAACACTGTTGCGTATGCAAGCGCAGCGCAGGCTCGTAGCAAGAAGGGTATAAATGAAGCATTCCACGCTTGGTCTTGGTCTTTGTCTAAACGGCTGTTCCGTATGTTATGAGCAGATTAATTAAAGACCCACGCTGTCAGATGGTGAAGCCCATCTCCGACTCTTATGTAAAACCACAAAACCCTCTACAAAGCTTGGTCATCTGAGAGGGGCTTGGAGTAGACGTTCAAGGCCAACGGAGTTCTATTTATCCATCCTGCTTGTGTGGAGAGACGAGCCAAACCCCTACCTCCCTTGTGTAATCAGGAAACATCTACGGATACCCGGAGTGGCCAAATTACCTCAAACATACTGTAAGGGTTTGAATAGTAACCTATCGGGTTAACGTTTTATTTTGAAGGCGACCTCAACGGGTGAGAAATGTTGTTCCGCTTTTTTCCGCTCTGGTTTGCTATGCTAGTAAATACTCTGTTACGAGCGATTCTGTTGAAAAAGTTAAGAGTTTGTAAGGCGTGGGTTACGGCGACAGTAGCCCGAAAATAATACTCATAAAAGAGCAACCAGAGACTCTTGAGTCATTACAGTATAATTGCTGATATGAGTCAATACTGTTAGATTCCAGCCCTGTTTGCCCTAATAACTAATAACTCCACGGTGCATGACCCGTGACCTTCATTAGATGCAATTACATCATCATAAATTTTGCTTAACATGATAGATTTTTTTCTCTGGACAAGAAATAAATGATATGGCCACCTCTAGATGACATTTAAATAATTTTTCATCAATTATAAATATATAAATAAAAAGTGCCTGTGGGACATTTGATACACCTCTAGCTCTCAAGTGTGTGTGTGTGTGTGTGTGTTAACAGACATCTGTACCAGTGTTTCTAAAGCTCAGACTGGTAGAGAATATGCACTACGGTTCAAGTTTGACAAGAATCAATACATTTTTATGCATTTAATCTACTGATGTATGCATATAATTTCTCAAGACAGCTTGAAGTGAGTTAACTTGTAAATAATTTACAGGAGGAAAAATATTGAGATAATTGATCCTTTTGGTACGTTACATTGAGATGGTAAAAAAAAACTTCTCAGTGGCAAGGCACCGGGAGGGGGTCCTGTGGGGTGTGGTGGGTGGGGTTAGGGTTAGAACGTGAACAAAACAAAGGAGATGATTTTAGACTTCAGAAGAAACAGGGTAGAGTCAAACACTGTTTCCATCATGGGAGAAGAAGTGGAGGTGGTTAAGGAATACAAATACCTTGGAGTTCACCTGGACAACAGACTGGACTGGAGAGAGAACAGCGAAGCCGTTTACAAGAAGGGAAACAGCAGACTGCACTTCTTGAGGACACTTAGGTCCTTCAATGTCTGTAGCAAGATGCTGCACATCTTCTACAAGTCTGTTGTTGAGAGTGTAATCTCTTCAGCCATCGTCTGTTGGGGTAGCAGCATCAGAAGCAGGGACCTGAAAAGGCTCAATAGCCTAATAAAAAAGGCTGGTTCTGTTCTGGGGACGACTGTGGAACCGCTGGAGGAGATAATGCAAAGAAAGATTCTCCAGAGAATCAAGAAAATGATGGACAACCCTGAGCATTCTCTTCACAAGACTGTCCGACAACAGAAGTGTCTTCAGTCAGAGGCTTCTTCAGTTTCGCTGCAACACTGACCGCTACTGGAGATCCTTCCTGCCAACAGCCATTGTAATATACAATAACTCTTTGATGACTTGATTATTATTATTATTCTGAGCTAATGCAGCAATCAGTTTCCCTCTGGGATTAATAAAGTATTTTTGAACTGGATTGAATTGAATAAATACCGTATATCGGAATTCAGCAAAAAAAATATTGAGATACAAGTTTTCGTCCATATTGCCCAGCGCTACTCCTGGGAGAGATTTTCCAGGCAGGTCCAACCAGGAGGAGACCCGAGAAAAGACCTATGACACGCTGGAGGGACTATGCCTCCTGGCTGGCCAGGGAAAACCTTGGGATTCCCCCGGAGGAGCTGGCTCAAGTAGCTGGGGAGAGGGAAGTCTGGGCCTTTTCGCTTAGGCTGCTTACCACGTGACCCAACTCCAGAAAAGTGTATGAAAATGGATGGATGGATGGATGTGGTGCAGTAATAGTATAATGATTGGGTTCTTCCATTAAAATACAAGGAGTCAATGAGTATGATATTCACTGTATGGTATTTGGTCTCACCCAGCTGTTCTTTGGTTCTCAGGGTGTTAAAACAGGGTTCGGAGATGATCTGGCAGAACAGCTCCAACAGCATGTTGTCACTGGTGGTCTGCATGTCAGTTTGGTAGTAGACCTCAATACCACAATTGTTGTGAACCTCATTTCTCTGCTGATATACGTACCAGCCACCTGAAGGCAAAGAAAAAGATTTCACACTGAAGACACATCCACAAGAAGCTGATTTCTTATTCCTACTGGGTCACATAAAATATGATTTACTGGCAGGTTTTTCTTTTCTGCTAATTCCTTTTACGATAGAAAAACTATAAAAGCTTAAAATGACTCAATCAGAAGAACCTCAGCACTTTTCTCCAGCTGCAGTATATTTTACTAAAACAGTAAAGTTCTGACACAGGATAGTTGGAAGACACGCTCCAGCAATTTAGCTTAATGTCAACATTGTTTTTCTGGGAGCTGAGTGTTTCCAAACAGTACTATTTAAACACAGAGGACACATTTCTTTTCCAAAGTGTCGAAATCTGGATCATTTAGTTGTTGGCTGCAGCAAAAGGACCAGACTGGGCCCCCTGGCTCCAACATGATCATCTGAGCAGGTCAGACATTGAGAACAACAACGAGTCACAGATCTTGACTTATCAAGGAACTAATGTGAACAGAGTCAGTTCCACATTTTGATGGAGTAGGTGTCTAATATCACGCTGTCAGTAGAATATGAACCAGCTTTCAGTCTACAATAAACTCAAAACTCTAGACGGCAATACTAGACATTTTCTTTCTGTTGGGCAAAAAATTTGAATATAAAACTTTAGAATTTTACATTTGTTGATCGTCAACCAAAAAGCTTAGATTGGTCTAAAAATGTTTTAACTAGGGCTGCACAATATATCGAAAAATTATCGTCATCGCGATAACAGGACGTGCGATAGGCCCATCGCAAAACACGGCAAAAACATTTCCATCTGTGTCATACATCAGCTTTTTGTAAACCAGCTCTGTTTTTTACGCGGAAGTATTATTTGACCAATCAAATGTAGTCCTTCTGATATGCGGCCAATCAGATGGCTCCGTTAACGTAATACGCCCGCCCCCTACCTAGACCCTTTTGGAAAGCAACACCCGAACAGAGTTAGCGGCGCTGTTCCCTTGTTCGTCATGCTGGCTCAAAGCAACGAACGCACTTTGTGCTGAGGTTTCTGGAATCAGCGCTGCTTTCAAACGTGAATGTGACTCCGCTCTGTGTCGTTAATCATTTTTACCGGGCTGACTCCGACACGTGCCGGTGAACCAACCCACCTTCATGTCGCTAGTGTTAGCCCCAGGCTCCGGTTAGCTTCCAGTTAAAAGGCTACAGCACTCTCCTCCCAGTCCAACCCTGCTAAAGAGGGCCTTGAAGAGTTCCCCCACACATCAAAGTGATTTTTCATTTATGAGCTTTTATAACCTTGTTAATCAGGATAGTTGATTTGCTGCTGCACACAAACTGTCAGTCAGAAGCTCTGCTAGCCGGTTATCTTAGAGGAGCTAGTTCAATTTGTTAGCTTGTTATCAGAATCATAGTTGCAATTTCATCATCTGAGCTGCTTTTAAGATCTAGGTAAACTTGTTCAATTTGGGGTTAAAAACAAACGTTTTCACATATTTTCCATGTAGTTTTTTGCCGGTTCCTCTTCTGAAAGGTAGACAATTGTTTTTCTCTTTCCCTCAGAAAATCTTAATATTCTCCTAGTTTGGCCCAGCACAGTTCACTTCCCAATTGCAGCAACTGCTAATACAGTAGCAGGTGCAGCTGCATACTTTTGCAATAAAAATGTTATGTTGTAATGGAATTCATGCATTAGTTTTTGTTTGCTTTGAACCCACAGCAGACGTCACACGCCAGACGACATCAACACTGCATACTTTAGTATTTGTTCATTTATCGTGAGTAATATCGATATCGCAATATTAAGCACTGTTATCGAATATCGCAGGTTTTCCTAATATCGTGCAGCCCTAGTTTTAAGTGAAATCCAATTGTTCTAATTCTGCTTAAATATTTTTTAACTAATTGGAAGAGTTTCAGTGTAAAGGTCATAAACTAATTGCTGTTTTGTAGCTATATTTCTGAATTGCCTCATGTGACATCATTTTATAAAACCATTCTCATGTCAGGACCACAGCCTGATGAACAACGGGATATCTCCAGGCGGACCTAAAATGCTCTGGTTATCTTCTCCAAATCCTTTAAATATTGAATGTCAAAGAACTCCAAAAAACATCTAGTGTGCGGAGGTTGTAATTGCATCAATAGAACAAGGTTTCCAGCTGTTGAGATACCAGGTTCGCTGCTGATATGTGACATTTTTTATTTGGGTCCATCTGTCATAGCTTTCACCTAAACTCACTCTGGTGTTAGACCTTTTATGGTTGCGCCTGTTCTGAGAAGAATAAAGACATCTTCAGGGCTCAGAAGCAGCTGTGTGACTTGCCGAGTCCACCATTTTCCAAAGGGCCAGCCTCGCTGTGCCGAGCGGACTGTTGGTGCCCTCTACTGGCTGGTAGATGTAAACATAAATCCAGTGTTGTGTCCGTCAAAAATAAATATTTGAATATTTTTTTTAAAATATAGCTTTTAAATGAAATACTGTAGCTTAATTCAGCACACCTCTTAGTGCCCTGTGGAGGTATTACATTTAAATAAAAAAATATATAGATTTTTATTAAATTGTTCTATATTCAACCTTCAAGTCAACTCATTCAATCACAAAGGTAGAGCGACTGTGTTGGTGTGATCAGAAGGATCCATTTCTAGCCAGAGACCGTTATGTTCCTCTCAGTAGAACAGATAATTTATAGATGTTACCATGGAAACCAACAGCAAAAAAATAAAGATTCAGTTGTATGCAGCAAAACAAGACTTACCATCTGGAACCTGGACCTCTCTGTAGCGAATCAGCTGGCTTGGGAGGAGGGGCTTTGTGTGAGCGTGCTCAATGAGTGTATCTTCAACCATCTGGATCATTGTGAGAGCAGACTGGTAGAAGAAGAAACAACAATCAGCCACATCTTTATCTCACAAGTGGGTGACATTCATGACAGAGTTTTCAATAAGTTCTAAAATGTTTCCTTTTTCCATCATCATCATCAGGGCATCGATCGTGTGTGGCTGTGAGACAAATGTTCTAACAACAGATTAGTCACAGAGTTGTTGTTTTGCCTTTTAGTTTCTACAATATGTGAAGAAAGTGAGAACCCTTTGGGAGGAGTAAGAGACCAAGTTGTGACTGACTGGAGAAAATTAGAGCCGATACTATATAAAAAATCTCCCCCACCCCTTCTTCCCCTGCCGGAACGTGACTATGATTGAGAGATAGGGAGGGCTTAGCCCCAGGAGCTTGACGTTGAACATTGTTTCAACCCTACAAAGACTTCTTCAATTAATTAATTATTTGAAGAAAATTTTAACAGAACCTGTAGTTTTATCATTTTCTTTTCCTTCCCTGTCTTCTTTTTTATAAGAAAAAATAACCCTAAATCTGTTCATTAGTGGGGTCTACGTTGAATGAAGATTTTATATAAATCCATTAAAAATTAGATACGTTATATTTTCCAAATAAAGCTATTTGTTTCAGTCTACTGCACTTAACAGGGGAAAACTGTGTGGTCAGGCTTCAGGTGGTACAGAATGCCAGGTTTCTGATGAACACCTCTAGACGTGACCATATCACACCTGTACTGGCTATCACACCTGTACTGGCGCACCTCCATTGGCTACCCGTAAACCTCAGAGTGAAGTTTATAATTCTGATCTTTGTTTATAATCTCTGAATGGTCTAGCACCGGATTACCTGTCTGACCTTGTTACTCGCTATGTGTAAACCGGGCATTGAGATTGCTGCTTCATGTTCCCACAGTGAAATACAAAACGCGGGGGCAGCGTGCGTTTGTCTACGCTGCTCCGTACCTCTGGAATGCTCTTCCTCACTCAATGAGGCTGGCACCATCCCTCCCCCGTTTCAAGTCACTGCTTAAGGCCCACTTTTATGACCAGGCATTTTTAAACCCTTGACTTTTATTAATGATTTTTATTATGTATTCTTTTATTGACTGTGATTTTACTGCTTTATTGTGTACTTTTATTATTGATTGCGTTTTTGTTTTTATGTTGTGCTTTACTTTTTATCTGTACAGCACTTTGGTCGGCTGCCATGCCGTTTTTAAAAGTGCTTCATAAATAAAGTTGGTATGGTATGGTAATTAGTTTAACTACAACTAGCTTAGTGTAAAAATCTACTGAAATCTGACAAAGTACAAATTAATATTTGTCAATCCTTTATTCTGTCAAATGAGTATACAGTTGACAGTTTTTATAAATAACATTGATATGATATGGAACAAAGGAGGTGTCCTTGAATTAACAATTAAAGACAAAATAACAGTATATAAAAACTATCCAGCAAGTAGTCCTCTTAAATTGAACAAAGCGCAGTTTAAAGTGACAGTGTATAGTTTTCCTGGTGATAGGGGGCAGTACATACCTTAATAATTGCAAGCAAGAACTATTTTTGTGTTCAAATAAGACCTTACCAACGGATGGCCATTAGGATAAAAAATCCCTGGGAGTGCAACCTCCAGCAAAATGACAAGCACATCAGACTCCCTTTCATCACTGGCAATGAGTGAGGAGGTAAATGTGTAAAGCAACAATGTTTATTCATGGTGAAAGTTTTGCAACCATTTGTTACAAATCAGTAAATGCATTTTGTCCTCACAGACTTCCGTAGAAGGAAACATGGCATCCAATATGGCGTCGCCCAGAGACTTAGACCCGCTCCCGTGCATTTTAGAACAGATTTTTATGGTTATATGAAACTGCCAATATTTTTCAACAATTGGGCATCTTTTAATTCATTTACATCAACATTTTGATGGATATTTCCAGAGATTAATGGTAAAAACGACATGTTGTCACTAACATTTTTGCTCCACATAACTGTATAACATTTTCACTTCACACTAGGAGTTAACCTCTAAGTATCTGAGTGAGGGAGTGATTCTCTGAGGTATTTGGTATCACCTTTAAACTTGAGCCAGTACAGATAAAGCATTTTTGACGAATACGATCATGAAACGAGTAAAACTCGTAAATATCTGTAATCGTGCTGAAGGAAAATCCTCATTGGGTAACTGATTGTTTTCACACTCTGTGATTGGCCAGTCACATAGAGCGCCTGCCCCTCCCTCCACACAAAACTCTGCAGCCGGGAGCTCAGTACGGCCCATGCATCCACGCACACACACAGACAATAACGGATCTCTCTGTGCTTGCTTAACTGTTGCTCACGTTTCTTCAGTACTCTCTAGGTTTTCTTCAGCTCGCTTCTTTTTTGGTTGAATATTTTAAGTTACTTTTTTCGTAACGTATGTGGTGCATTTGACAAGACAGAGCTGAAAACGGCTTGTGCATGCGTCGGTCACTGCCTCCACTCCGGTCGGGTTTTAAAAAATTATTTTAACTCTCTCTCCCTCTCTATCGCGCTCACACACACACACACACACACACACACACACACACACACACACACGCACGCACGTACGCGCGTGCACGCGCGCGCACACACACACACACACACACCTTAATCAACATTGTTTTGTTTAACTGTGTGTGGGGAAAATGCCAACAACATTAGGAAAAAAATCTGTTTAATCAAATTAAAATAAAATAAAAAGTAAAAAGTTGTGTCTGGTTCTAGTATTTCATATTTCCTAGTTCCTACTGCATGAGTTCAGATGTATTAATTCATGCACTTAAATATTAATGTTCAGATTTTATTGAAAAACTTGTAATAGTTCCTTTACTATTGTGATCAAAAATATTTAATCTCAATTCTGAGGCTGCTCTGTAAATAGTTTTCAAATAAACAACACAAATAGCAACTTCTGATCAATCCATATCAATTTCAGATTTAAAATAATGTATTGATGTAAACCACACCCACTAATTTCTAAATAATAAATAAGAGGTGCATTCATCTGTGTATCTAATTTGATCCGCATTGGTGATATTTTCAGCACCACAACAATGAAGCAAAGAAACAGATTCCTGAGTTTGTTAGTAATTTTATTTATGACCTGTTCTATTTTTCTCTGAAATGAGATTGTTACGGCCGCCGCCGTTTTGGAGCCCAGTGGTGTGCTGTGCGCCATTCCCTGCTCAGCAGCAGCAGCAGCGCAGCACCGTGGACAGCTACTCCTTTGGAAGCTGTCCGTTATTTCAGGACCATGGACAGCGCCAGGGCAGCAGTCACGCCAGCTGGGACTTTGCACCTCATCAGCTGGCTCTTCAAAATCAGGGGAGAGAAATGTTTGGTGGTTGCAGCAGCAACGTGTGGTTCTCTCCCCTTAGTGGTTAACTTGTCTGACGGTTTTATGGTTTAAACCACTTTGTTTGTTTCTTGTGAAGAAACAACCTTAAGACTTTTGTGCGTGTTTGGGATTAGTTAAGTTAAACCGGTCATTTTTGGTTTGGTGAGTCATTTAAACTACCTTTGGTGAATTACCAGGTTGGGTTTTCCCCTTTTGAAGTCTTAGTTCCTGAGCTAATTTTAGTGGTTTGGACACTTTTGGTTTATTCAGTGTTTTTGGTTGTTTAAACTGACTGGGAGGGGGGTTTTGCCTCTTTTTGAGTTTCATTCCCTTTTAAATAAAGGAGATTAATTATAGGATTTATAGAGCGATTGGTCCTCTGGTCAGTTTCAGTTAATTAATTAATGCTAACTTGGTAATTTCTAGGAAAGGATTTTTTGGCCCTTCTTTTGGTTCTTTTTTTTTAAAATAAAACCTTTAAAAATACAAGGACACTTTAAGTTTGGTTTTGCTTGGTCAAGCCTTTTTCTCCCCCAATAAGGGTCACTTTTTGTTATACTGGTCCATTTTATGTTTATTCCCCTCACCTTCCTAGCTGAGCCCACAGAGGGGTGTAACAGAGATCAAATCAGTGCTTCTATGGGTTGTCTCCTCTCTGCACTAGAAAAATGTATTTTATTATAATGTTCACTGTAATTCATCTTGATGTTCTTAACAAATAAATTAAATCAAAGATATTGGGTCAATAATGCCAAATATTTAAATTTGTGTTTCAGTCATTTTTATACTGGCTTAAAAATACTTCATTAAGTCTACTAAGCAGGGGTGTTGAACGTGTTTAATAGGGCCAGCCCAGTAATGGTCTTGGACCAAAATAAAGGGGGCAGAAAGTCAAATAAAGGGGGGCAAAAGGAGATGTTTTTCCAGACGCCAAGAAAAATTAAATGTCAAATCCCCCCTGCAAAGTGTCACTGAGCGTTTAAAACAAAAATGGGTTAGGGTCAAATTCTGATTTGCCAAACTTGGCCAGAACTCAAAACATTGTAGTTTATAAAAACAAGAATTACTTCCCGATTAATTCAGTTTCCAGCTGACTCCCGATTCGGCCAAATCAGGAAAGAAGCATCTCTTTGGAAACCATCTCCTTTTACCTTAAGTCAAAAGCCTTTCTGCAACGCTGCAAGTAATTACAGACACAACAGCTCTTTTCAGAGCTACTTCACACCTGAGACACCTTATCTGCAGACCTCAGGTTGCATCTCATGGCCAGGGAATCTGAACTCAGAGGAAGCTACTAATCTCTTGAGTATTGTGGTTTCGACGTGCAGTGACCTCACCACTCTGACCTCACCCCTCCGGACCGCCGGGAGCAACTCATTCCAAGGGTATCATACGCCTGCATACTGGAGTCTGATGAGGTTTTTAAATAAACAACTCTCTAGTTATAAACAACAACAAATTCTTTTACAACCCAGACTTCACAACCTTCTCAAATACAATACAGTATATACACATAGGCAGTAAGCTAGCATTGTAACCTTTGACTGCTAAAAACCACAAATAGAAAATGAAGAACTTGGGTTCCAGCACTATGCAACATACTGCAAGAGGCACATACATACTATGTTAATCTGGTAGTGAACGAGTATTGAACACATATTGAGTATTGCATTGATGTTATTGTGTACCAGGATAATGCCAGTGTCAGTTAATCTGAGGAGTTCTACACTCTTACTGCAGAGGGGATGAATGACCTACGGTAGCGTTCTGTTTTACATCTGGGGTGTCTCAGTCTGCCTCTGAAGGAGCTGTCCATGGACTCCACAGTAGGATGCAGTGGGTGGGAGTTTTTTTTTTAAGATGGTAGTCATCTTCCCCAGCATCCTCCTTTCACACGTCTCCTCAACTGAATCCAGTGGGCAGCTCAGAACCGAGCTAGCTATGTGAACTAGCTTGTTCAGTTTCTTCCTGTCTCGGTCAGAGCTGCCTGCACCCCAGCAGACCATCAGAGTGGATAACAGAGCCAACCACAGAGTGATGAAAGGATTTTAGCAGCCAAATTAACACTGAAGGACCTCAGCCTCCTCAGGAGGTTGAGGTGGCTTTGGCCCTTCTTATGTTTTACATGAGCCAACTAACCACAGGTCCTACTCGATGAAATAATCTTAACTTCAACATGAATTCTAACTCTATGAACAACATCACCTTCATTTAGACAAAAACATGTTTTGGAGAACAAAAGAAAAAGACTTGCAGCACAACCAGTGTGTTTGTTTCTGACCACAACCAAAGTCTGGAAGAAGCCTCTGGGATGAGAGGCTAAATGTCTCCAACATATCCAGAAATGTCCAGCTGTTTTCAGCTAAAGCTCTCAGGATGATCATGTCCAGGATGACTGAGAACTACACCTCCATGCTGCAGCAGCTTCAGTCACACAGAAAGTGAAACTTAAATGTAGCTGCTGTCAGTAACAATCTAACAGATTTTAAACATTAAAACTCTCAACAGAAATAGTTCAGCAAGGAAATAAAAAATGTTATTTATTATTATTATTATTTATTGTGGCAGAAGCTGGTGTGGTCCACCACAGAGAAGCTGCTCTGGACTTGAATTATTCTACAGGTATTGTTCAGCCTTCTGACGCTCACGTGTGCGTTATTTCTGCAGTGAGACAAACTCACCTCACACCGTCCAGAGTGTGTTCTTTAAAGCTTCTGTTAAATCCACCGTGTTGATGTATTTTAACAATTTTCCTCTAAGGCACATTTTTCGTTGCAGAAGTTAAAGTTTACATCACGGAGTATAAGTCCTGCAGATGCGCTTGTTTATATTTGGACACTGCGCGCCGGGTGGGGAGGGGGGACTCGGTGGTGCACACAGCTGTGGATTCCTCTTCCGTCGGTATACTAGGAATCGAAAAAAAATCTTTGAACGATTCTGGGAAAAACTAATGGGCTCAAAACATGGGAGGCGACATTGCCTCTCCTCCATTCATTTTCAATGAGACATGCGCAACAAAGCGATAATCGCGGGTCTCCCTCCTACTAAGCGAAACGCGATAAACGTGCGTGTGAAATTTTGCGCTCGTGCACGTTTCGTGCACAGGCGACCCAGCGACGCGATCCCAGAAAGTTGAAATATTTTCAACTTTTCATCACTGTCGCTCGGACGAGGACCAATCAACAGAGGTTTCATTCACTGACCAATGAGCGGACAGGATACTCCGTACATCTCCGAGCGAACATGGACTTCGTTTCTCCTTCTGTGACGGTGTTCATCTAAATGTGAGGTCCAAACCGTGTGATAAATTGAAGCATGTTCTGAAAGATAGAGAGTAGCCCTCTCCTGGTTTGTAATATGGGATGAACCCATTCTCTGGTTTATTTTTTATAAAGTAAAATCAGAAGTAAGATTTCACATAACTCTAGCAGCACCTTGTGAAACATCACATCTACCCGCTGTTTTAACTGAACCGCTTAAATAACTTTAATTCCCTCCAACACATGTACAATCAAACACAGCCAATCAAAACAACGGAAGATTCGATTTCGCCATGGAACAGAACATGTCGACGACTTTGCCGCTGGCCCCCTCCCGTGTGTCTGGTAATAAAAGCGACAGCGACGAATTTTGCTGATCACGGTCGTTTGTCCCCTCCGGTGTATCAAGCCCATAACAGTTGGAACCGGTTCCAATCGATGCCCAACTCAAGGAATCAATAGGAACCGGAATCTAGGGCTGCAGCTATCGAATATTTTTGTAATCGAGTACTCTATCGAATATTTTTTTCGATTAATCGAGTACTCTAATAAATTACCCTTTTGTATTTGTAAACCATTATATCAAATAGCATGTTATAATTATGAAAGACCTGTTAAAATTAGCAAGCAATTGCCAGTTATTCTTCAAGTTTTATTCAAAATTTGTTTTCAAAACTTCAGCACTTCAACTTTACTTCACAGTAAACAAATGGCTGTGCAAAACATAAGTAAACAACCTGAGCCGATTTTCCCCTCATGCGAGAATCTGCTAGCCTGCAAGCCAGACAAAAACTAGGAGGATAACTGTTGAAGTAGCGCTGCGAGCGGCTGCGGCCCAAACAGAACCAGAACCGCTCACGGTGCATGCGCAAACAGCTCGCCGGCTGTTCCCTATTAACACACGTCCGTTTTAATTTCAACACTTTTTTTTCACACAATAACAAGGTTTGTCGAGAAAGCATGTTTGCCGTGGTTTTGTCAAATTACACTGATCACAAAACATTTATTTACTTTCTTTCGTTTTCCTCTCATAAATACCCGTGTCCTCCTGCAGCAATCCCGAAGGACAACAAACATCAATAACACAATAAAAAGTCCGACGTTTTGTGTAAAAATGCTATTTTTTAGCACATTTTAAGTCCGACGTGTTGCTACCAGACGTATGGTGTGAGCTGAAACTGAGTGCTACAAATGAAAAAGTCGCACAGTGTCCGCAGAATATATAGAAATACAGGCTAAAAAGCATTATCTTGTAGAGGCTCCGAGTCCGCTTGCAGAAGTGACATTTACAGGTGCTGCAGCAGCATGGAGGATGTGGTGTTGTGGTAGGCTTAATCCATTTTACAGTATTTACACTGGAGTACGTTTTCTGCCTAACAACGTGAAAAATGGTCCCACATCTTGACATTTTCTGTATTTTTCGCACTCCACCGGGGTCCACGTTGTCCGCCATGGCTTAAGAGAAAGTTAAGTTACATACACTACTCGCGTGTGCAGTCCAGTGGGCATGTGCGTCACTTATTTCAGTCCGGGTGAAACATGACCACGGGCGACTGCAAAGCCACAAATTAATTAAATATGAATTAAACGAATCCTCGAGGCAGAGAATTTGACTCGAGGATTTTTTGTACTCGAATTATTCGAGGTACTCGAGGAATCGTTTCAGCCCTACCGGAATCGTTCAAAATCAAAAATGCCCAACCCTGGTCTTCAGGGCCTTAAATGGACAAGCACCATCATACATCTGTGATCTTTTCAGCAGGTCCCCGAGGTCCAGAGACCAAAGCCTACTGGTTGTGCAGCACCAGGCTAAAGATCAAAGGTGACAGATCAGCTGCTGCTCTGGCCCCCAGACTCTGGAGCTCTCCCCCGAGACTGAGATCAGTGGACTTCTTCAGCTTCTTCTGTTTTTTTTTTTCCTGATGTTTCTATCATTTGGGAAGGCCACATAAATCCGCTGTCCTTTGCGGCTCATCAATGATCACGATGTTCAGTTGGTTAGCAGCAAATTTACTCTGACTTGCTTTTGGCCTTCTATGTATCCCTTTCCTGCTAGTATCCCCATGTTTCTAAGGCCTCTTTGCAAAGCCTGCAGCTGGGGATTTGCCTGGTTTGGTAGATCTGGACTTCTGCTGCTCTGGGGCTCGAGGCTTGCTTTTCTGCTGCCATGATCATAATTATAGAAAGCCATGCAACAAAATTAAACTGCACCAAGATAAAAAAGCAAAGTCTGAACAAACCTCCTTGGCGATGTTACCATGGAGGAGGGCCTCAATATGTAACCGTGACAACAGTTGAGGTATGAAGGACTTGAGGAGTGGGAGAGTTACATCTGGAACACAAATCACACACACAAAACAGAATCAGAACATCTTCTGTATGTCTGCACTGTTTGATATGAATTAACCAACATCTGACCCAGATTCCATCAGAAGCCGCAAATGCATACAAACACATTTTAAACAAGTAACTAGCCAGGAGGCTGACTGTCTCAAGTGTCAAAGGTACAGCCCATGGTTGCCACAAGTTAACCCCTTAGTTAAGACTAATGTATGGATACGGATGTGTGTGTGTGCGCGCGCACGGATGCACGCGTGTGTGTGTTCTGTCTTCTCCATCCCCAGTGAGTCATGGTGGATGGCTGCTTATACTGAGCAAGGATCCTCTGGAGGTTTCTTCCTGTTAAAAGGGAGTTTTCCTCTCCACTGTTGCTGCATGCTTGCTTAGTATGAGGATTGCTGTAAAGACTCTGACACTAGTCAGTGACTCCATGCAACCTGCTGGGTTCCTTATATAGGAAACTTGTTAGTAATTGGCTTAATGACCTGACCTGACCTGTATTGGAATGTTTACTGTGTGAAGGTCCTTGAGACAACTCTGGTCCTGATTTGGTGTTTTATAAATAAACTTGAATTGAATTGTATTAATGGAGAAACAAAGCTGTGTCTCACCATCCAGGGCTTCTCTGAGCTCGTCTTTGGTCCAGGCGACCTCTGTCATCAGCAGACGGAGGTAGTACATAGCATGCTGGTGAGGCTGCTCAGCTCTGAAGTTATTCAAGGATCTCATATACTGGGGGATGACAAACAAAACCAGAGAGAAAGGTAAAACTAGAGAAGTGTACAGATACTAGTCCTAAAATTAGAATATCATAACAAAGTTGATTTATTTCAGTAAATCCATTCAAAAAGTGAAACTTGTATATTAGATGTATTCATTACACACACTGAGATAATTCAACTGAATTAAAAAATAGATGTACAAAATACCACATTCCTGTTACAAAACAAGAAATACAAGTACAAATTGAGAATTACAAGTTAGAAAACTAAAGTTACAAGTTACGAATCCAAAGTTACATGTAATGAAACATGTTCGAAGTTACAAAACTTGGTACAAGTTACGCTGAATATTGTCCCAATCCTAGCTCCATACAGCTCCACCCGGAGATCGTCCTTCCTCCCCGCCGGAGATGCATCCATCGTGGGTCTCACCGTAACTTCCAACTGGATAACTCTCACTCAATCACCTCATATTGGTCCACAACTCGTCGTCCTCGCCTCAACACTGGCCGGACTGCGGACCTTCGCTCGCTAGCCAGCCTGGCGAAGACAGCAACCTCCAACCACAACAACACAGTCAACTTCGGCCTCCTGAATGTCCGCTCTCTCACAAACAAGGGTCAGCTCATTCAGGGCCTCATCACCGACCATAAACTGGACTTCATCGGGCTCACGGAGACCTGGCAGCAACTTAACGACTTTTCCCAACTTAACGCTTCCACACCCCTGGCTTTGTTTCCCTATCCTATCCACGTGGCTCCGGTCGCGAGGGCGGTCTCGCGCTGCTCTATCGCGAGAAGTGGAAGGTGCTGCCTGTCCCCACTCCTGTCTTCAGCTCCATGGATTCTTCTGTTTTTCAAATACCCGGTCCCACTCCTACAGTTATTGCCTTGATCTACCGCCCACCCAAGCCCAATAGTGACTTTTTAAATGACTTCTCCTCATTACTCACCCAGCTCACCACCCATTCCCCCAATGTCATTCTGCTTGGTGATATAAATATTCATATGGACAACTTGAACCTCCCCCTCACCAGAGACTTCTCCTCCTGCCTCAACAGCTTCAATTTTCAAACATATTCTAATTTTCCCACGCACATTAAAGGTCACTCTTGATTTAATCTGCTGCTCTGGTTTAACCCCATCTAACTGTTCTGCTAATGATGTAAATATATCTGATCACTTTTTTCTGTCATTCAACATCCCCCTCTACTCTTTAAGAACTAAGCCTATCTGTCACATCTCACTCCGCAATATAAAAAACATTAACCCAGACACCCTGTCATCTATTATTAACACTATATCCACCCCTAGTTCTGCTTCTCCTGACCATCTTGTTTCTCTTTATAACTCCACACTCCACAATATCTTGGATTCTCTTGCCCCAGTCAAAACTCTGTCCATCTCCTTTACTAACTCTGCCCCCTGGTTTACCCCTGAACTCCGACGGATGAAAGCCAAAGGACGTCAACTCGAACGCCTCCATAAACGAACTGGTCTTGCAATATACAAAGAAATGCACAAAACTCATCTGCTTCAATACTTGGACTCTATTAAACATACAAAATCTGCTTCCTACTCTGGATTGATTTCCTCCAATGAAGGCAACTCCAGGACTCTGTTCTCAATAATGCGCAATATTTTTCATTCCCCCCGACTCTCTACCTCCCCCACCCCCCCCACCCCCACCACCACCACCACCACCTGTATTCTGCTGACTCATGTAACTCTTTAATAACCTTCTTTACTCAGAAAATTGCTTCCATACACCAGCAATTAATTCCAAGCTCTTCCCCTCCCCCTGAGATTTTTTCGCCCCGCCAGTCATTTTGTTCCTTTCTTCTTCCCACCTCATCAGAAATATCTGATCTTATCTGTAAATCCAAGCCCACCACCTGCTCTCTCGACCCCCTCCCTACAGTTTTGGTTAAAACATGTCTCACCTCCCTTCTCCCTCTCATAACCGCCATAATCCACTCCTCCCTCTCTACCGGTATTGTTCCCTCACTTTTCAAAACTGCATCTATTACTCCAATATTAAAGAAACCCGGCACTGATCCCAATAATTTCAATAATCTTCGTCCCATCTCAAATCTTCCATTTCTTTCAAAAATCCTAGAAAAAATAATCTCTGTTCAACTCCATGCTCATCTCACCCTCAATAGCCTCTATGAGCCCTTCCAGTCTGGCTTTCGTCCTGGCCACAGTACAGAAACTGCACTCCTAAAAATCACTAACGACCTCCTCACTGCTGCCGATACTGGACTGCTCTCCATTCTCATTCTCCTTGAATTGAATTCAGCCTTCGATACCATCTCTCACACCATCCTCCTCCATAGATTGTCTTCCCTTGGCATTTCTCATACCCCGCTTGATTGGTTCCGTTCATATCTATCTGGCCGTACTCAGTTTATTCAACTCAAACCCTTCACTTCCCGTCCCTTCCCTGTCACTACTGGCGTCCCCCAAGGCTCTGTTCTCGGTCCACTCCTATTCATCACTTACCTTCTTCCCCATGGAAATATTTTCTGTAAATTTGACATCCATTTTCATTGTTACGCAGATGACACCCAGCTCTATGTATCCTCCAAACCCTCCTCTTCACTCCCTCCCTCCTTCCTCCCTCACCAATTGTTTATCTGAAATCAAAGACTGGTTCAAACTTTCTCTAACTTAACAGTGATAAAACAGAAATGTTACTTGTCGGCACTACATCTTTACTATCCAAAATCCACAGCTTTACATTTCCTGTCGACAACTCCTTAGTTTCCCCCTCCCCTCAGGTCAAGAGTCTGGGTGTCATTCTCGACTCCTCACTATCCTTCCAGTCCCACATAAACAATATTGCCCGGTCTGCCTACTTCCATCTACGTAACATTAACCACCTACACCCCTCCCTCACTACTCACTCTGTCGCCATCCTTGTCCACAGCCTCATCACTTCCCGTATTGACTACTGCAACACTCTTCTCTTCGGTCTTCCTCACAAATCCCTCCATAAACTCCAACTTCTCCAGAACTCGGCAGCCCGCATCATTTCCAGAACTCCCTCCTTCCACCACATCACCCCTGTTCTTCAGCAGCTCCACTGGCTCCCAGTCACTTCCAGAATCCAAATCAAAATTCTGCTATATACATTCAAAGCCCTCCATAACCTAGCTCCACCATACCTCTCAGACCTCGTTCATCCTTCAACCTCCACCCGTTCCCTCAGGTCCTCCTCCTCCATCCACCTCTCTGTCCCACCTTTCCGTCTGGTCACTATGGGGAGCAGGGCCTTCAGTCGCTCCGCTCCCCAGCTCTGGAACTCACTCCCTCCTGACCTCCGTAACATTGATTCCCTCACTCTCTTTAAAACCAGACTCAAAACCCACCTGTTCAGTCTGGCATTCCAATAATTACTCTCTTTGCTCCAATGTGTCTGTTTGTTTTATGCTGTTCTATCTTTTATTGTTGTGTATTTTATCTCTGTCTGTAAAGTGTCCTTGAGTGTTTAGAAAGGCCCTGTTGAAATAAAATGTATTATTATTATTAACACTACTTGGCATATATGTTGTGTGTGTGTGTGTGTGTGTGTGTGTGTGTGTGTGTGTGTGTGTGTGTGTGTGTGTGTGTGTGTGTGTGCTCGGTCTTCTTCATCCCCAGTGAGTCATGGTGGATGGCTGCTTATACTGAGCCAGGATCCTCTGGAGGTTTCTTCCTGTTAAAAGGGAGTTTTCCTCTCCACTGCCCCTGCATGCTTGATTAGTATGAGGATAGCTGTAAAGACATTAATCAGTGACTCCATGCAACCTGCTGGGTTCCTTATATATGAAACTTTTTACTGACTGGCTTAATGACCTGACTTGTATTGGAATGTTTGCTGTGTGAAGGTCCTTGAGACGACTCCAGTCCTGATTTGGTGCTTTATAAATAAACCTGGATTGAATCAAGTCAGGTTGCTTGTTGATATGATTATTTATTTAAATCAAGAACATGCAATTAAATTATTACAACAACAAAAAAGATGTACGAGACAAAGCCGATGATTCTCTTTTTTTAGTTTCAGAATCAGAAGGGGCAATTTCAACAAATGTTTACACTCCCTGACCATCTTTACTCTGCTCTAATTATAAATTTACAATACTGTGTAACACAGCATCTGTGAACTGAGGGCAGCAATGTGTACTCACAGAGTACAGAGGATCATTAGGGTCGTCGATAATAGCTTTAGCTTTCCTCGTAACCCTTCATCTATATAGCTGTAACGTCCAGCAATGGTCAGTTTTTAAGTACAGTTTGACCATTCAACATCTGGTCAAAAAGGAGACACGAGACTGCATGTGTTCCCTTTAAATCAGCCTGCCTTCATCCCATCAGCTGGAGCTCAGAGCCTCTCGATAACGTATTGTCAACAATAATGTTCTCTCCTCAAGGTCCAATCTTCGCTTATCGTCCTACAGGATTCTTCATGCCTCCAAATAAGTGAACACTCGCAGCTCGGATCAGTTGCTAAATCAAAGAATGATTTCCTAAATTAAATATGAACATCTAACTTATAAGCTAGATAATCATTAAATAAATGTTTGTTTATTGCTACCTATAATAATTATAATATAATGAAATGTTTCATTAATCTGTGCTCAATGATTGAAGTTTGAAATGAATGTTATGATTACAGTGATTGAAATATGTTTTAGCATGTTAATATGACAAGGTCATCACCATTCGCATTCACACAAGGACAAAGTAAGGTTAAGTTAAACTCATGACACATAGATAGTCCTTTACCCCAGATCAGCGCATACGGTATCAAGGAAGGCATGTTTCTGAGGTTGTCTTGGTAACCATTCCTCAACTTGTAAACCTCTGGTTGGCTACACAAATCATAACGAGAATATTAAAACTGGATCACTCTGGTGATTCAGCAGTTCAGTTCAGTTCAGTTCAGCAGTAAGTTCTTGAGGAAAGCTTCAGACCAGCCATTTGAAACAAGACCTCTTTAACCCATCAAAGATTTTGACACGTCGTC